TAAAAATACAAAAAATTAGCCAGGTGTGGTGGCATGCACCTGCAGTCCCAGCTCAGGCAGGAGAACAGCTTGAGCTTGGGAGGTGGAGGTTCCAGAGAGCCGAGATTGCACCACTGCACTCCACCCAGGGTGACAGAACGAGACTCAATCTCAATAATAATAATAAAAAAGTATGAATTCATGCAGGTATTTCCCAGTTGTAAGATTGTCAGGCTTTACTTCTCTGATTTTACACCTGTTTTTCTGCCTATGCTGAAAATCTGGGTTCCTGACAGCATTAGCATAATTGCTTATGTTCTTTTTCCTATAACATACATATGCTAGTTTCAAAATATAATATATCATAATAAATCATGTTATATTTAAAGTACATGAATTTTAAATGACAAATTATAAATTATATATCATAAAACAGATCCACTAAGGATCATTTAAGATCAGTTTGCTCATTCTCCTGAAATTCTCCCACCGAATATGCAATTGTGCCTCCAGGTCCCTTAAGTCACTCTGTGATTAGGCCATTTTCCTACCAAGACCAGCTCAGCCATAGAGACCCCCACCCAGGCGGCACTGAAGGAATTTAGAAGCAGACACCCAGATAGAACAGCAAAGTGGGTCTATCCAGGGGGCCAGCAGCCTACTGAGCTGAGATCCTGGGCTGACAGCATTCCAGGCTGAGGACCCAAACAGGCTCTAACCCATGCATTTATTCTCTCTGAACAGGTGATGGTTATTAACAAACAGATGTTCAGTATTTTCTCAAAACAAAAATATACCAAGTAGGCAGCTGGTACCCACTTAACATTGATCACAGACAAACTAAAAAGTTTTCTCCATGAGGGAGCCTCGGGGGCAGGGTCAGCTACCCCATGCTTAAAGAATTGTTTTAACCGGTGTATGATATTAGTATACTGTCTTGCCACTTTAGAACACCCAAACAGTTCTCTACTTGGCAGGGGCCAGCAAGGTTTTCCTTGCCACTGTTCTTAACAAATGATGTATTTTATCATATGCTCAGCATTTCTCAACAACTACTGATACACAGTTAGATGGAACTTTGGGGTACTTTTTAATCATGCAGATGTAGGAACCTACCCACGACTTTTGTGTTCTTTGAGACAGTTTTGCCCTTGTCACAGGCTGGGGTGCAATGGCATGATCTCAGCTCACTGCAACCTCTGCCTCCTGGGTACAAGTGACTCACCTGCCTCAGCCTCCTGAGTAGCTGGGACTACAGTTGTGTGCCACTATGCTGGGCTAATTTTTATGATTTTGTTGTTGTTTTTGAGACATTGTGTCACTCTGTTGCCTGAGCCGGAGTACAGTGGTGTGATCTCAGCTCACTGCAACCTCCACCTCCCCGGTGCAAGCCATTCTCCTGCCTTAGCCTCCTGAGTAGCTGGGATTACAGGCACCTGCCACTAAGCCCAGCTAATTTTTTGTATTATTAGTAGAGACGAGATTTCACCATGTTGGCCAAGCTGGTCTTGAACTCTTGACCTCGTGATTTACCCACCTTGGCCTCCCAAGATGCTGGGATTACAGGCATGAGCCATGGCACCTGGCACCTGCCTAGGACTTTTAAGTGGATGTTCCTCTGCCTGAAAGCAAAGTTTAAGTGTTTATTTTACAGCAACTTGTAAACAATAACTGTAGACCCCAATATTTGTTGTGCCGCAAACTTCTCATCCATAGTTTCTCTGAGTGAAGGTATTGATGGGGAAATGTGAAATTCAGAGAGGCAGGCCACACAGCTGTGGAGCAGCAGCATCGGGTGGGACCTGTGTCGGATCTGCAATTCTGCCTTGTGTGACGTAAGCTGGACTTACATTAAAATCAAAAATTGCTGCTCTGCAAAGAAAACAAAGACAAGCCACAGACGAAAAATATATTAGCAAAAGACATCTGATAAAGCACTGTTATCCAAAATATACAAAGAGCTCTTAAGACTCAATAAATAAGAAAACAACCTGATTACAAAATGGGTCAAAGACATCTCGCCAGAGAAGCTAAACAGGTGGCAAATAAACATCTGAAAAGATAATCCCACGATTGGTGCAGTGGCTGATGCCTGGAATCCCATTATATTCAGAGGCCAAGGCAGGAGGATCTCTTGAGCCTAGTAGTTCAAGACCAGCCTGGACAACAGCAAGACCCCATCTGTATTGTCTGTATGAGATATATCCACATCATATGTTGTCAGGGAAATGCAAACTTAAACAGTGAGCTACCACTGCATACCTGTAATAATGGCCAAAATCCAGAAAACTGGCCAAACACCAAATGCTGAGGAGGAGGTGGAGCAACCAGAACTCCCATTCGTTGCTGCTGGGAATAACAAATGGTGCGGCCACGATGGAAGATGGTCTGGCACTTTCCTAAAAATAAAACCCATTCCTACCACGTGATCCAGCACTCTCAGTCCTTAGTATTTACCCAGCCTGCAAGCAGATGTTTATAGCTGTAAACCAAAACTAAAATTCCAAGCCCCCCAACTGACTGAATTAACACCCTTTCAACCAGGGGGACCCAAAGGAACCTGAAGGTTCAGGCCGTGATGGGCAGTAGGGATCGGACATGTCTCATACTCTCTTCCCTTTGGAATTCAGGCACAGCTGATTGACCTTAAAACAGAGATCTGAAGACTGACATAACAGACTCTGTAGAAATAAGATATAAAATTCCAACCTGACTATAGTATAGCATCACAAGACAGACAGATGGCAGGCCATGAAAGAAATTGAATTATTTGGCCCCAAAATGTATTTATTTGACATATTTTGGAATGGCCCTGCACAGCTGTCTCTTGTGGAGGAAATTTGCTTTCTGTAGAGCATACCAGGTCATTTCTGAAGAGTTTAGCACCTTTTAGAGGTCAAGCATAGGAAATGTGCCGTCTATGGCCTCTCAGGGCAGCCATCTATGAAACTTCATCTACATAACAAGAACCTTGGTCTCCACAACATTTTATCTTCACGGAGACCCTCCTTTCTGTTGATTCCAGGTTTTTGGATAATAACTCAACAAATGGTTAATCAGAAAATCTTTGAATTCACCTATGATTTGTAAGTCATCCCAACCCCTCTATGAGCTGCCCACATAGACAAGTAGGCTGGGAGCTTGCATGGGTGAATGGCCACAGGAACTGGGGACTAGACATGTTCAAGATGGCATCTCCATCTTCCCGTCTCTGCCAGCCGTGTGAACAGTAAGAAGCAGACAAGACAGTGCTGTTCAACTGGAAAGCCTGTTTGCATAATCAGATTAGGGTAGGGCCACCAGCCTTCCCTGTGTGCTATGTAAACGTCATACCTGATAGAACCAATCTGTGAGTTCTATGTAAATCAGACTCCGCCTCCTCAAACCTGACTATAAATTCAGCGCATCTGCAGCCCACCAGGCCTTTCCGCTTGGAGAAGAGACAGCTGTTGCTGTTTCTCTTCACTTCTGCCTATTAAACCTCCTCTCCTAAACTCCTCGTGTTTGGCCCTGTCCTAAATTTTCCTGGCGCAAGACGACGAACCCCAGGGAATATATCCCAGACAACGTAGCTGCTTCAAGGGTTTGGAGTGAGGAAGGATTGAATCAATGGAGCCCAGGGGATTTCTAGAGCATTGAAACTTCGTGATGATACTGTGGGGGCCAAGGGAGAGCTATCCCCTTCACCCTCTGAAGGGGCCTCTGAAGTGGCACTGGCATGGGGCACATTGACTAATAGGAGAAAGAGCATGCATGTTTGCTTAACGTGTATACACGGGAGCCTTTGAAATGAAAACCCAACTTCCCAACAAAGCTCAGAGCTTAGATGCCATCGTGAGGTTACACAAAGAAGGAGGGGGGTCAGAGCATGGCCAAAACTAAGTTACAGGCCAGGCACAGTGGCTCACGCCTGCAATCCCAGCACTTTGGAAGGCTGAGTCAGGCAGATCTCTTGAGCTCAGGAGTTTGAGACCAGCCTGGCCAACATGGCAAAACCCTGTCTCTACTAAAAATACAAAAAGTAGCTGGGTGTGATGGCACACGCCTATAATCCCAGCTGCTTAAGAGGCTGGAGAAGGAGGATCCCTTGAGCCCAGGAGTTCAAGGCTGCAGTGAGTTGTGATTGTGCCACTGCACTCTAGCCTGGATGACAGTGAGACTCTGTCTCTAAAAAAAACCCCAAAAAACCCGAAATCTGTGGACTCCTGGTGATTATGACATGTCCATGTGGGTGCATCAGGTGTAACAGATGTATCCCTTGATGGGGGATATTGATAAATGGGGAGACTGGGGTGGGGTGAGGACACATGGGAAATCTCTGTAACCTTCCAATTTTGCTGTGAGCCTAAAGCTGCTCTAAAAATGTATCTATATTGACCCAGCAATCCCATTACTGGGTATATACCCAAAGGATTATAAATCGTTCTATTATAAAGACACATGCACATGTATGTTCATTGTGGCGCCGTTTACAAATAGCAAAGACCTGGAACCAACCCAAATGGGCATCAGTGACAGACTGGACAAGGAAAATATGGCACATATACACCACGGAATACTATGCAGCCATAAAAAACAATGCGTTCTTGTCCTTTGTAGGGACATGGATGAATCTGGAAACCCTCATTCTCAGCAAACTGACAGAAGAACAGAAAATCAAACTGCATGTTCTCACTCATAGGCAGGTGTTGAACAATGAGATCACATGGACACAGGGAGGGGAGCATCACACACTGGGATCTGTTGGTGGGGCTAGGGGAGGGACAGCGGGGGGTGGGGAGATTGGGGAGGGATAACATGGGGAGAAATGCCAGATATAGGTGATGGGGGGATGGAGGCAGCAAACCACCTTGCCATGTGAGTACCTATGCAAACTCTGCATGATCTGCACATGTACCCCAGAACCTAAAGTACAATTTTTTAAAAAGTGCTGCCTTCCTTTCCCTCTCTTCTGCCCCCAGCTCTCTCCCTTACCCACTTCCTCTCCCTGCTGCCTCCCCTCTGCCCTCCTGTTTCCTTCCCATTGTAAATAACACTGCAGTGAATATCCTCGAGCACAAAGGGTCTGTGTCCCAGATCAGAATTACCTCCTTTATTTACAGCAGGTTCTCAGAACTAGAGTATCGGGGCAAAGGCCTGATGCAAAGGCATTTGCTCTGGTGCACCCCAGCCACCTGCAGGCCCCTTCTTCCCCATGGCTGAGCTCCTCCTCCCACCCTCCAGCCTTTCCCCAGCCTCCCTTCACCACTAGGCCTCCTGAATTGCTGGGCACTGGCTACGGTTGACAGAGGGACAGTTGTGGCTCTGGAGGTCCACTGGATCCCTGGCTGCAGGTGCAGGGGTGGCAGAGCAGGAATGTGGTCTGTGTGGGAAGCACAGGCTTCAAGTCTCCCAGGGGGCTGGGAGGGCTCTGGCTGCTCCCACCTGTCCCCACCGCTGGAGAGGAATGTGCGGTGGCTGGAGCTGCCACTGCGTGTCTCCGTGAGGGTGACTTCAGACGGACTGAGCTTCTTAAAGGCCCCATCTGAAGACATTGTTCATGGGTGTTTCACCACTCATAGCCTTTCCTGACTCAGGGAGTAATACGCGGTCACAGAAAATACAAGTGGCCTCCTCCTCCTCCTCCATGACCTCACGCCTCATGCTCACTCCTCCCACTGCCTCTTCTCCCATCCCTCCCGCCAGCTTATTTCCCTCCCCTTCTGTCTTTCTGGCTGGTTGAGCCCCAGGGCCTTGGCTGGGCCCTTTCTTTCCTCAGGGAAGCCCTCAATGCTGGGATAAACACCCCCACCCCCAACCCCAGCCCCAGCCACAGCATGTCCCCCTGAGCCTCTCATCCTCCCACCCAGGACACATCAGGCTGCCTGCTGACACCTCCCCACCCTTGAGCGAGGCTGCATTGTGCTGGTCTGGGACCTGCACCCAGCTTGGACTGCCCGATCTGTGGGCCTCAGGAGTAGCTCATACAGATAAGGTCAGCCACATGGGAGAGGTGCCTGGCAACATGTGGCCCTCTCTGTCCCAGAAGTCATGTGCTCGGTCCCCTGCGAAGCCCATTTGGGGACCTGGGGCAGAGCATGGAGACAAAGTATGCCATTTTCTCTGACAGTGACGCCAAGCCCTGTGAACTAACCAGAAGGCAAGGTACTGTGCACCCTGCCCAGCGCTGCCACCCGCTTCCCGCTCACCACCGTGCCACCTGCCTCTGCTCCCAGGTAAGCGGTAACCTGCACCCTGCACTAGAATGAGTGGTGGGGAGGGGATGTTGGAGAGCACATGACCCAGCATGTGACCTTGGCCCCAGCTCAATAAATACCCGAGGCCCAGAGGGAGGGCCACCCAGAGGCTGACGCACACCATGGGGCGCCTGCAGCTGGTTGTCTTGGGCCTCACCTGCTGCTGGGCAGTGGCCAGTGCCGCGAAGGTAAGAGCCCAGCAGAGGGCAGGTCCTGTATCCTCCCAGCTCAATCCTATCTGGAAAACTTGGGGCCAGGCTGAGGAAGAGAGCCCAGCACAGCCCCACAGCAGTTCCTGGCGCTCACCCTCATTTCTATGGGGACAGGTGCCAGGTAAAACACAGGATGACCAGTTCCATTTGAATTTCAGATAAACTGCCAAGAACTGCTGTGTAAGAATCTCCCATGCAATATTTGAAACATATGGGCTGGGCGCCGTGGCTCACGCCTGTAATCCCAGCACTTTGGGAGGCCGAAAAGGGCAGATCACTTGGGTCAGGAGTTGGAGACCAGCCTGGCCAACATGGTGAAACTCTGTCTCTACTAAAAATACAAAAATTAGTCAGGTGTGATGGTGTGTGCCTATAATCCCATCTTCTCAGGAGGCCGAGGCAGAAGAATTACTTGAACCTGGGAAGGGGAGGTGGCGGTGAGCGGAGATCATGCCACTACATTCCAGCCTGGATAACAAGAGCGAAATGCTGTCTTAAAAAAGAAAAAAGAAAAAGAAAAAAATGAAACATACTTATTCTAAAAAAAAAAAATCACTGTTTACTTGAAATTCCAATGTAACTGGGCCTCTTGAAGTTGCATTTGCTAAGCCTGGTGATCCCACCTACAAACCTCTCTGAGGTTGAGGTTGTTCCCATTTTATAGAAGGGGAAATGGGCCCAGGGGCAGGGAGTGTGGAGAGCAGGCAGAGGGGGTAGAGAGAGGCAGGAAGAGAGGCAGGAAGAGAGACAGAGAGGCTGGCAGGCAGGTTGCCCAGCATTGCACAGCTGCTACCTCTTGTTCCTGAGCAGGAACCCAAAACCTGGGCTACTCCACATGGGAATCCTGGTCCCTCCAGAGGGAGAGCTGGCAGGCAGGAGCTCCCTCCAGGCATCTCAACAGGGTGACTTCAAGCCCAAGAGCTTCGGAGCTCAGTTCCCTCAGGGACAGAGGGTAGATGAGCACCGACCTCCACGCTTCTTGTGGGGATGGACAGATTGGCGCATAGAGGTAGTTCTCATGGCACAGGTCCCTAGAAGGGTCTTTATCAGCAGGGGACACAGGAGCTGTGGGGACTTGGGTGTGGGGCCATTGACTCTGTGCCCAGCCAGCTAGTGCTGGGAGATAAGAGGAGGAGAAAGCAGGCCCCACCCCTCAGGAAGGAGGAAGGTTGGTGTGAAACATTCCAGGGACACTGAGCATTGGGTATGCTCCTGCTGGGAGCTGGACAGGCCTCCCATCTGATGGCAAACAGGCTGACAGGAGACAGGGCTGTGGCTCGTCTTCCACATGGGGAAACTGAGGATCATAGTCAAGGCTGGGTGGCCATGGCCAGAACTCACACCTCCAGCCCACCTCCTGGAGGGCTACCTAGTGGGAACACTGGTTGAACCAGTTTTCTTTAAGATTCTGGGAGCAGGACAGCCCCAGGGATAAGGAGGGAAGCAGGAATCCTCAAGCCCTGAGCAGTGCAGGGCAGGGGGTGCTCCTGGGTCTCCTGTGCAAAACTGTCCCACTTTGAAGCTGTCTTTGCCTCTGGACACCTGGAGTTGGCTTCCCTTCCTCCCTCTGGATTCAGGCCTATGGGGCCTGAGCCTGCCTGACCCTGCCCGTGTCTCCCTCCTAGCTGGGCGCCGTGTACACAGAAGGCGGGTTCGTGGAAGGCGTCAACAAGAAGCTTGGCCTCCTGGGCGACTCTGTGGACATCTTCAAGGGCATCCCCTTCGCGGCTCCCACCAAGGCTCTGGAAAACCCCCAGCCACACCCCGGCTGGCAAGGTGGGAGTGGGTGATACTGGGCTGGCCCTGCGGTAGTGGGGTTGTCAAGGGTGGCTGCCTTCCTCATGTCAACTCCTCCTGCCACCCACAGGGACCCTGAAGGCCAAGGATTTCAAGAAGAGATGCCTGCAGGCCACCATTACCCAGGATGACTCCTATGGGCATGAAGACTGCCTGTACCTCAACATCTGGGTGCCCCAGGGCAGGAAGCAAGGTCTGCTTCCCCACTGCTCCCCAAGGGAACCTCCCAGGCCACCAGAGCCCTGGCCCTGCTCCTGCTCCTGGCTTGGGTCTGGGGGCTGCAAAGCTGAGCTTCCCTGAAATCCTGCAGAGGCAGGGAGGGGAGCGTCCTGTGGTGGTCCCCCAGCCTGGGGTGGGGCAGCTCCTTGGAGCCTCCCTGTCTGGATACCAGGCACCTGCTGCACAAGGAACAGGCACCAGGTGGGGAGAGGGCTCGGGGGCATCTGGGGTCACCAGCAACTACCCCATCTCAGTCTCCCGGGACCTGCCTGTGATGGTCTGGATATATGGAGGCGCCTTCCTCATGGGGGCCGGCCACGGGGCCAACTTCCTCAATAACTACCTGTATGACGGTGAGGAGATCGCCACGCGAGGCAACGTCATCGTGGTCACCTTCAACTACCGCGTCGGCCCCCTTGGGTTCCTCAGCACTGGGGACGCCAACCTGCCAGGTTCGTGGGCCTCTTTGGCACAGAGGTGGGGTGGCCGGCGACAGCCCAGCAGGAGGAGGCTCCTCATTGCCCATCACCCCAGAAAACCAGTGGCGGTCCCACAGAAACACCCAGAAACTGGAGTAGAATCACAAGATACAGGAGGCCCTTGGCAGCAGTAGCAAAGTAATAGGTGCTGCAGAGGCCAGGCAAGGTGGTTCATGCCCCTAATCCCAACACATTAGGAAGCCAAGGCAGGTGGATCACTTGAACCCAAAAGTTCAAGACCAGCCTGGGAAACACTGGGAGACCCAATCTCTAACAAAAAGTATAAAAATTAGCTGTACATGGTGGCTTACGCCTCTGGTCTCAGCTACTTGGGAGGCAGAGGTAGAAGGATCGCTTGAGCCCAGGGGGTTGAGGCTGCAGTGAGCCATGATGGTGCCACGGCACTGCAGCCTGGGTGACAGGGTAAAACCCCATCTCAAAAAAAAAGGGTCCATGGGACAGACAGGGAGACAGGCTCAGACTCAGAGAGAGACCAGGAGAGCAGAGCCCAATGAGGGACAGAAAATGATACCTTTCGGCAGAGACAGCTGTGGACACAGAAGTGGCAGAATACAGACAAGAGAAAATTAGGCAGGGGCAGGAGAGGTGCACAGGCCTGACCATCCTGCTCCCCATAACCCAGCACCCCACTGACTCAGCCTCCTGGGGACCCACCCCCTCCAGCAACCCACCCACCCAGCCCCTTAGGAACCCACTATTTGCCAACCTGGGCTTCTCCAGGGCCCCAACTCTGTTGAGGGCATTTCCACGCCTCCCACACTGGTCTCCCCCACCTGCAGGCCAGGCCTGGGCGCTGGTCTCTAGCACCCCCTCCCCTGCCCTGCCCCCAGGTAACTATGGCCTTCGGGATCAGCACATGGCCATTGCTTGGGTGAAGAGGAATATTGCAGCCTTCGGGGGGGACCCCAACAATATCACCATCTTCGGGGAATCTGCTGGAGGTGCCAGCGTGTCTCTGCAGGTCTGGGGACCCCCTGGAGGGAAGGGCCTGCCCCAAAGGTTGCCAGGAAGCTCAAATGGGAGGGAGAGGGTGGGAGGGGGAGTGTGGAGCTGGGACTGTGGTGCTGGGGTATCCTTGGCCCAGCCTGGGGTGGGTGGAGTCAGGAGCGGCTTTGGTGATGGGATTTCTGGGTGTCGTAGACCCTCTCCCCCTACAACAAAGGCCTGATCCGGCGAGCCATCAGCCAGAGCGGTGTGGCCCTGAGCCCCTGGGCCATCCAGAAAAACCCCCTCTTCTGGGCCAAAAAGGTAAACAGAGGAGGGCAGGGGTGGGCAGGGAGGGGCTGGTTTGATACCCAGGTAGGGGCTGTCCTCATTTCCATTCTTTGTCCTGGACCCTGTTCTTGCCTTCAAATGCACTGGCCTCCTCCCATCTGCCGGCCTTGATCCTGCCCCCAGGTGGCTGAGAAGGTGGGTTGCCCTGTGGAGGACACTGCCAGGATGGCCAAGTGTCTGAAGGTGACCGACCCCCGAGCCCTAACGCTGGCCTATAAGATGCCGCTGGCAGGCATGGAGTGTGAGTAGCTGCTCAGGTTGGGACATGGGGTCTCGAGGTGGGGGTTGGGGTGGGTACTACCAGGAAGTACTCTGGAAAAGAGAGGAAGGTGCCAGAGCTGCGGCCCAGTCCTGTCACCAACAAGCTGGTGTGTCCCCTCCAAGGCCCCAGCTGTAAGAAAGAG